AATAACTCTTCATCATGGTGAGCTCTTCGGGAAAAAGTATTCTCCAAAACCTTTGGTGCTGTCTCTTGATATGGAAAAATATATACAGTACAGCTCATAATTTAAAAGTAAAACAAGTATATACCAACATTCACAGCACTACTCATAGTAATCAAAAGGTAGAAACCCAAATAAATGTTCATTGACAGATAAATGGATCAAAATGTGCTATGTATCCATACACTGGATTATTTATTCATCCTTAAAAAGAAATGAGCCTGATGCTACAACATAATAAATTCTGAAAAGATTAGGCTAAGCGAAATAAGCCAGACACAAAAAGACAAATACTGCATGATTCCCTTACATGAGGTACCAAATTCCTAGACAGAAAGTAGAATAGTATTTACCAGAGGGGGTGTGTATAGTTATTATTTAATGAGTACAGGCTTTCAGTCTGTGATGATAGAAAAAGTTCTGAAAATGGATAATGATTGTTGCACAACGTGTGTGTAACTTAATGCAACTGAACTGTACACTTTAAAACACTAGTAAAATGATCAATTTTATACTATGTATATTTTATTGCAATAAAAACACAAAAATAAGTAGGGCCAAAAAAGGAATAATCCTAGTTAACTTGCAAAATAAGTAAAATTCATGCCGGATAATCTGCTGTCCATACCTTTCCATATTTCTCCTTTTAGCTCTGCGCAGAGCTACTATGCCTTCTTTTGCAAGAGCATCTAAGGAAAAGGGATCAATTCCCTGGAACAACAACAAAAAATTAGTTTCAATGTATTTCACCTTTAAAATACAGACTAGTTTATAAAGCAAAATATCTCACCTTTTGATTAATAACAACAAATCCTTTATCTGAATCACCACAGACTTTCTTTTTCAGTTCTATTATTTTTTTAACTCTGTCTTCAATGAATTTTCTTTCAGCTTTTACTAGTTTCTCTCTCTCTTCTGCACTCTTGTAAAAAAAGCCAGAATTCACTTCTCTAAAAAAAAAAAATGTTATAGAAAGAGGAGGAAATGTTTAATTTCTGAGTAGAAGATAAGCCAGCAGCCTTAGAAACTATGTTAGTCTCAAGATTTAATAGTCACTGAGCTCCAATCCCACTCCTGGTATGTTTCCTCAAAACCCAATTTGAGGCCTTGTTGTCCTTACAGTGGGGCAACTAAGTCTCACAAAAAAGTGACTTGCCCCAAACCCCAAGCTCCTCCACCTCTCTGTCCCATTCTTAAAGGGCTATAAACTCACGTCTTTTCATATTCCAATGACACGTTGCATGTGAGGATGTATGCATCTTCTACTCTCTTTTTCATATCAGGATGCCGTGCCCCATGGTCCAAAACAAGACCTCTGATTAAGCTGTTAAAACATATAAAAATTATATTCTTATTGATTTCAGATGGGCTATAACATATGCTAACAAAATCAAAACAGTGACTTGAGACTGTATGGATAATTTTCACACAATCAGCTTTATTTCTTGACTTATCTGAAGAGGACTTTGAGGTAATATCTAGGTAGGTCCAACTGTGAAAAAGCAGTATTCTGGAATACGACAAAAATAAGCCATTCAAATGAAAGTAACAACTCTTTCCTGCACAGAAAATTCTGTGGAGAAATAGTCTCAGTTGGTAGGCTATCAAACTGTGATCACTGCCTTTAAAAAATGTCTTCAAACTAGATCTTTGAAATAATTTTTAAAAATTCCCCAAAGTCTCCCATGGGTTTTGTATCCAACAGTTCAATAAATGCCAAATGACTGATATAGTTGACTTTTTTTTTCTTTGTTAAAATCTATATATGTATTTTTTATTTAAGTATAGTCAGTTGTGTCAATTTCTGGTGTACAGCATAAAGCTTCAGTTATACAGGAACATACATATATTCATTTTCATATTCTTTTTCACCTGATGTAGCTGACTTTTCAGAAGCATTCTGACTATAAATACATACCATTAACTTCATTTCAAGAGGAAACACTGAGTAAATTACTCATCTTGGCAATATACATTAATTCAAAGACAAAAAAATCAGGCAAAAGATATGAATTGTATAAACTCCTTCTGGTTTGTAAACTCACTTCTTAAGTATTTCCTAGCATTCTACCACCTACCTTGTGTCAGTTTCAGATTTATGTTTCATCTCCATGATCTCAATCATGAAGAGGTCAATAGGTTCATCTTGTTTTTTAATGGTCAAAATGGAGTCCACTACAGCCTGCAATAGAAGTGTAACCATTAAATGAATTTGATTTGCCGAAGCTGAGACACCTTATTCTTCAGAGAAATTCAAAGCAGGTTCTTGACTTTAAAAATCTGTGAATTGATCCAAGCCTATTTCTATGTACTTACAGAATGCATTATGTATGACGGGCTGAAGTCATTTACAAAATCTCAATTTGTAATTACCTAAAGAATCAATGACATCCCTACTATTGTATTAAAAATATCAGTGACAGGAAGC